CCCCCCCCCCCCTGGCATGCATACGGGGTGTTCCTTGTTCCAGGTGGAAACAATTCTCAGCTGCTGATGCCAGATTTGCGGCTTTGGCGCCATTTCTTCAAGGGGCCAGAATGCTCCGGCAGGTGGCTGTTTTTCAATGTTGTCTTTGCTTCTTTTTCCCCACCTCACAATGCAAAAGAGGGTTTCCATGTTTCTTGCTCCACTTTGACTTCCCTTAATTTGACTATGCGTCTTTTGTTTCTTAATTTTTTTTTTCATTATCTAAAGAAAAGGGTGACTGTCACAGCCTTTCAATATCATCTTATCTTATCGAGTGGACCAGCCCCAGGTGATTCATAGTTATGTTATGTCATTCATGTGGTTCACCAGGATTCGAACTCAGGTCTGTATTTCAACAGCTCATGGGTATAGCAACTGAGCTAGGCCAGTTGACTATTCGGGTCCCATATCAGGTGCTAAACCTGATCACACAGGCTTTGCACCTGAGCAGGTGCTATTCAGATACCATATCAGATGCTAAACCTGATGTGGGACGTGGGACTCGATTCGAACTCAGGTTCCGCATATGCTGTAGAAACTACTAGAAAGGGAACTCAAGACTACTGCAACCTCCTGTTTTTTTTTTTTTTTTTGCCTAGCTTATCTTCTCTGTATCGTTCCAATTTTAACAGATTCCCTGGAATACTGCTTTTTTTTTTTTTTTTTTTTTGCAATCTGTTGGTCAGCTGCTCGGTCCTTTGTTTTTTCTTCATGCCTGTCCTCTCGACAAACTTTGGCCTCAACGATTCGCGGAGAGGCGCAGGAGGTATGCCTTTTTTGTTTTTGTTTTCGTTTTCATTTTCGTTTTCGTTTTCGTTTTCGTTCTCGTTCTCGTTCTCGTTTTCGTTTTCGTTTTCGTTTTCGTTTTCGTTTTCGTTTTCGTTTTCGTTTTCGTTTTCGTTTTCGTTTTTGTTTTCAGGATTATATCTTGTATTCATCAATGGTTCTAGGTGTGCGTTACTCAGTGATGCATGTTCATCTAAAGATGAGTGATGCACATGTCCAAGGATCGTCAGTGTGATGAACAGGACACAAAAAACAAAACGGTATAATGGAATGTAGCGCAGTGGAAGACTCAAAGATATGACCTGACACATCAGATCCAGACTTGACTGACACAATCATCATCACACATGTCGCACAGCAAGGAGGGGAATCATACACGGAAGAAAGGCCCCTCCTTGCGCGCACACATGGGGAAGAAACCACGGATGATGAAGGGGGAGGGGGAGGGGAGGCGGAGGGGGAGGGGGAGGAGAGACGAAGGTGGAGAGGGGAGAGAAGACAAGAGTGGATTCTGAACACGAAGTTGTCCAAGAAATACTCTCCCCGTCAAATGTCCAGCCTATGTCTGTCCTAAAAAATGTGGAATCAGATCAAGAATCTGATGCTCGCAAGCAGGGCATATGCAGCCAACGGGCGCGTGATAACTGTCTGGCGCCCACCAGGAGCTGTCGTTGTTGGGATGAAATGAAACTGTCTGGCGTGTGCATCTACAGCTCTATTCTTCGTTTGGAAAAAAAATCAAAATTCTTGGGATGAGTGCTCATAAAAATAGTCTGGAATGGAATGAAACTCGTAATATTAATTGGGGCGAAAGTTCACCAAAAAAAAAAAAAAGAACAGATTCGTATGCTGAGCTAATGGTGAGCCCCTGTGCATGTGTGTGTGTGTGTGTGTGTGTGTGTGTGTGTGTGTGTGTGTGTGTGTGTGTGAGAGAGAGAGAGAGAGAGAGAGAGAGAGAGAGAGAGAGAGAGAGAGAGAGAGAGAGAGAGAGAGAGAGAGAGAGAGAGAGAGAGAGAGAGAATATCGAGAAACTCTTCCATTGGTACGGTATTCCGCTGCAAGCTTTTCACGATGGAATATATTTGGCTGTGATAGACCTTCCTTTGTTTCGTGGGTGTTTTGCTGGTTTGTGATGGGGTGTGAACTGACAGTCTGTAGAGTTTTCCATCTGGTGTGGGTGAGTGATAGTCTGCTTTGATTTTTTCGCCACAGGTACCTTGAGGGCAGTGGTTGGTGGTCCCCACCTCCTCAGAGGGGTATCAGTTGTCAGGCAGTTGTTGATGCTTAACCACAACCGGGGCTAAGGTGGATTATCACTTACATTGTAATCAGTTAGAGTATTCTGCAGACTGTTGAGGGTTCAGCCTCCTGATGCGTTGGTGAAACTTGACGAAACAGTCCTCGTTTGTTGTCCGCCTACGGTTTACCGGGCAGCTCTGTTTGACGGCAGATAGTTTTTCCTTAAAAAAATGGAAATTTTCAAAAAGATAAATGAAAAAAAAAAGTGAAAAATCCATGGTTGTCAACCGGATGTCCGGGTCGGGATCCAGACGGTCCGGTCTGGATGTCCGGATCCGGTGTCCAGTTTGGGGGGTCCGGCTGGGCCCCATTTCTAGAAAATTCGGGAAAAAAAATTGGGGTCCCCAGGCGATTTTCCAGTGCCTGGTGGACCCCCGAAAATTGTTGGCGCAGTTTTTGGTGGACCGTTGGGCCAACCGGACCAGCCCTGAAAAGCCTGTACTTGCAATCTTGGGTGAGTTTCAGTGGGCCAAGCAGAACTGGTTGTGTGTGTGTGTGTGTGTCTGTGTGTGCGCGCGCGCGTGACACTGTGTGCGCATGTGAGTGTGTTCAAGATAAGTCCGATAATACACCTACAGCAGCGTGTTTTTTTTTATTTTTTATAATTAATTAATTATTTGTTTGTTTATTCATCCCGACATCCGGACCTGTTCATTCATAACCGGACCGTCTGGGTCTGTATGTCCGGTTGTCCGGATTACTGTACGTCCGGATTAATCCAGACACGGGTCCGGGCCCGGTGTCCGATGTCTGGATGTCTGGGTCCGGGGCAACCATGAACAAATCAGATTCAGAATTTCTCATCCACCTACCTTCTTACAGTTACTCATTTGTGGTCTTTTGCAGGATCCCTTGGAGTGTCTTTTCTCTTTCGTTTGTTCATCAAACAACCATATTTCTCGAATAACTGGTAAGCGCAATGTTCTGCTTGGACGCTTTTTTTTTTTTTTTTTTAACCGCGCGCATGTGCCTCTGCCTCTGAAGGGAGAGGTAGAGGGAATGCCAAACTCCAAGCATGGGATATCAGGCTGGGTGCCCACCCAGGCTGCTCTGGTTGTCCCGATGGCTCGGCCTGGCAAGGTCCTGGACTCCCGGTTACTGGGTACACAGCCCACTTGGCTGATTGGGACACCCGTGAACTGTTGAGAAATAGACCTCAGTTTGCATTCTGATGTGATTAGATTAATCATGAATGAAAGAACTCTAAATCACCTGGGTGGCTGAGCCTGGTTAGTTTGACGATTACACACCAAGGTCCTCACCCTTTGATTAAAAAAAGTTCAGAACGAGAATGATTACACACACACACACACACACACACACACACACACACACACACACACACACACACACACACACACACACACACACACA